TAAGAAAATGATAGCTGAAAAGAGCGCTGCATAATGTAATTTTTGAATGGTGTTGAACTCTATGTTCAAATTAAACGAGTATAAATTAGAGGTTAATACTGCAACTCTATATAAAGCTTTTCATCTCGTTTTTTTTCAGCTAATATTCAACTAAAAACTCGATAACTGAATGTTTAGAGTTATTTTACTCAAATACTACAGATTTGGGCAAACCCAACACTTCACTTAAAATGCAGAACGACCCTAATGCTCACATGAGGTTTGCACATATATACATATTTTTTCATTTTTCACTTTCCACTAAGTATGTGTCTTATTTACCGCACACGCACATACACACACACATGTGTGTATGTAGTGAAAACGATACGCTCCTTGCGACATGTGAAATGGTTTTGAAAATTTTACGCGTGTTCTTTTATTATTCGCCTGACATGAGTACGAAAGTCTCGTCTTCTGGTTGTTGTTTTCTTTTGTTATAATTAAGTACGTCTTACGCAATCCACCCAAACACACACAGGCACATACGCGCATCCGTTGAAACTTCCGTTTGAAAACGAAAACCGCAAACAGAATCCTCGTGATGATAAAGCAAAATAAATAAATAATTATATGTGTGTTTTTATGGCTGTATGTGTGTACCCTTAAATATCCATGTATACTACTATGACAAGCAATTTCAATTCATGTCACAAATTTTTCTTTTATAATTTTGGTACATGCTTTTAAAGTAATTTGTATAAATCTTATAAAAATCCCACACTTAATTTTTTTTTTTTCATATAAACACGTAGATACATAAGATACAAAATTTAATTCGGTTTTTATTTAAATTAAATATTTTTCATTTCCAAAACCAATCTGCGTGGCGAATTCATTTAATATGGTCCACAGGCGCCCCCCGGTCATAGTGTCTTATAATTGCTTCAACAACAGGTCGCTCTTGCAGCCATCCTTCCTGCAAACTACTCTGCCACCATCATTTTTCATTTTGTTGCACCATAACGGTTACCCACACGACTTATACACCATTTCACTAAATGCTGTTATTATTCTGTCTGCAACATGCACCCATATTTTTTCCAAATTTTCTCCGCCGTACTGCTGAGCTGCTGCCACACAATTATTGCTACGTTTTACTTGCATTTTTCATATTTGAATGTTCTTTCTGCATGCCGTTTGTGTAAATCAGTGCCATGCAACTCATATGAGATATGTGTGTGATTTTTATGTCCTGTTGACTCATATTTTGGCTCCTTCGGCGGCTGCTGGAATTGAATTAAATGTAGCAAAAAGGAAATGTGAAAAACGAAATGTAATAAGACGGTGAAGTGAAGGTCTTAAATGTGTGCGGCTGAAAGGAGAGTTTGAGTGCCGTGTTTTAAATTTGTGGCACAGTCATTTAACTGAACTCATTTCTTATGGTTGCCCTGTTAGAATTGGTTGGACATATTTTTTTTAATAGTCGAAATATTTAATTTAGTAAGGGCTTAAATAAGATTGAATATATTTCGTCCATATGTAAATTAATTCATAAATAATGAGTTTAATTCGGATTTCTTTAAAAGGTCTCTATCACTTCGAAGCTGGATTCTTTACTAAACCCATTAACCGTTCTTCAGTTTCACGAAATTTATTTTCAAACTCTCAATACCATAGATGATAGTAAAAGTGGTCTAAAGTCTTTGAAATTAAACTTGGTACGCCACATGAAGAAGCCACATCTCTTTAATGAGATATCCGTATTCTCTCTTGTATCGTATTCACCTCTCTAGCTCTGTTGTTGTTTTCACAGTAAATTTTTTGACAGGTGAGCAGCACAAAAGAATGGTTAGAAGAATAATGTCGAATCGATAACGGCCAGAAATTTAAATCGGAAATTGTACCGATAATTCAAATTGGAATCATTCAATTTCAAAAATCTACTAGTGTCTCTCTAAAGATAGGATTTATCGTAAACGGGCCAGCCGCTTTAAGAAATACAAGGTATTCCAAAATTTAAGCTAGATAGGTGAATAAAAAAAAATCGACAGCTGCCAGTTTAGGCCGAGTAAAAATGGAGCAAATAGAGAGAAAATGGACACGATAGAACAATGTGTCTTCAATCATTCAAGAACAACTGGCACTCGAAAGACTAAAAACTGTATTTTCCATTTTATTCTAATCTTGCGTTAATTTGGGACACCCTTTACAACATTATTACTTCTTTTTTTTAAATAAGGTAGACTATTTAGTTATCGAGTATTAAAAAAGTTCTTTGTCAGCGTTTACTTGTGCTAAGTAATAATGCTCTGGGTTGTAATCGATAATTTTCGCTATACAATCTTGATCGAAGGCTTATGCCACTAATACCACAGGTAGATTTGACCCGAATCGGCAAAATAATCTACATTTTCACGTATTTTAATACATATTATTATTAATGCATAAAAGAAGGCTCCTGAGCCACTACAATCAAGCAAACGCGATCTCTTCTTGACGTCGTTTTTGTAAAAGATTCAGATATTTTGGTACGAATCGGGTATTGACACACATAATACCCAAAACATTACCCAAAATGTGTTGAGTAGCCCCATAAGAGATGTTGAGATCCTTTGATATATCCCTGATGCCAATACGCCAATTTTCAAGCACCGTTTATTTAACTTTTTTGATGGTATCGTCATTAACAGAGGGGGGTGAACGACTCGCATGAGACAAGTTTTTGATGACTGTTCGGCCTTCACTGAATGCATTGCGCCACTCACATATTTGTGTTAGTGATAAAGTAGACACCCAAAAACACTTCTGAAAAATTGTCAACGCTTTTGTAGTCTTGATTCCATTGGAAACCCAAAAATTCAAGCAAAAATCACCAGATAAACAGATAACAAACAGCTGCCAAATACAGTTCAATTGAGATACGTATGAAGATAAATCTTTACAGGAACATAAAATAATTGTATCGTTGTACCAATCTAGAAATATAGTATCGATTCGCTGTGCGTGCAAGGATCAGTTGGAGTCAAATTTGATCAGATGGTATAAAATCAGATGAAATAAAATTACAATAACAAATTGTCGATGGTGCAAATGGTTTTCGTTTTTGTAAAACTGTATTATAAGAACATGTACAGGAAACTCTTGTGTGAAACATATAAGATAAATAAGTCCTTTATTATATAAATAGTTATCAAGCATTAGATATTTCCTACAGACGTCTTTTGCTGAAATAAGACCATGTTCACACTCACTTAAGCCCTCGCGTCGAAGCATACTTCATAACGGCAATAAAAGCGTGCACATGTAACATAAATTCATAAAATAACTAAATACAGGCGACAGACAGCGAATGTGAATGTGCACCACTACATACACATATATGTTTGTGTGTATGTACACTTGCGTGAATAAGTGTGTTTGCGGTTAAATGTTTTTTCTGCGTTTTTTGCGCCCTTTTATACATTTTACATATTTTTCCGCAGCGACTGTAGGCGCTCTTTATGCTTGCAGTCTGGCGGTTTGCTTTATTGACTTCGCCGGATTTTTGAAAAGTTTTTCATTCACGCTTTTTGCACTGTGTATTTTTTTGTTTAACCAGATTCGCTGAATTTCAGGCCGCCGTTGAACTGCCAGCGCTTAACACCCCGTTTAATCGAACCCTCATTTATTTATTTATATTTATTTTTTGTTTGTTTGCGGGATATTTGCTGAATTTGTCATGTGCCGTAACGCTGGCGTGGCGGCAGCAAATGAAGAGGCCTCAATACTGAGGAGCATATATGCACAGGTTCGGCGTTTTTACAGTTGTTGTGCGAATATGTGTGCGAAAAACGCATGTTCGTATGTGTAAACGCTTTTTTTCCTTGCCTGCTTGAATACTCCGGGTGCTGCCAGCGTCTGTGGTATGAACTCCATTTGGTTGATATGAATTTCGCGCATGTATACTGGGATTTGACAGCTCGTAAATAATTTTCGTTGTGCGTGCGTGCGTGTGCGTGACGAGACTTTTTCCGCTTGCTTACTGCGAAACATAACTTTATAACTTTTTTTGATACTGATTCTTGGTGTCCTTGCGGAGCGCTCACACATACTTCTTCATATTACGCCACCAAACACCACACATATACACACACTCATGCACACCCAATTTATTTCTGCTTATCTTTAGTGTTTTTTTGTGGCATTTAATGATGCTGTTTTTAATATTGTTGCTATTGTTGTTGCTGTTACTGCCACCGTCGGCTTAACGATAAGCCTTATGCACACACAACTGCTTAAACACTCAAATATACACACACACCTATATACATATATGCCATAACGGCACTCATATGCATATGTGTGCATTTGTCATTACGCGCCACAGCAGCTTTAAGTCTTAAGCGCACAACTCGCGGATAATTAAATTTTAAGTGACTTGGTAAGTACGCTCCGAAATATATGGTCGCTGCATTCGTTTTCCAAAAACTGAGAAAAAAAATAAATTGTTTCAATATTTATCTATAAAGTGAGAAGCGCACAGCAATGTGGCATACTTATAGGCGTGTCAGTGGCGTCGAAAAATCGGGCGAAAAAGTAAAAGCGTTAATAATTATCATTTTGTTATGGCTGTTTGGGCGTAAATACGGATTAAGGACGTAATTTTCATGGAAAGGCGCAACAACCCTGGAAAACGGCGAAAGTCTTCTTGGTATAAATTTAAGCTTAAAAGCACAACAATTTTCCATTGTGTTTACTGCGAGGGTTGAGCTCACTGTCACTCGCTTCCGTAATTAGAGCAATTAAACTGACGGCATAAAAGTCTAAATCTCTGTGATTTCCGAATGTGTGGCGGAAAAAATTTCAAAGCATTTTATTGTGTTTTGCAGGCTTCGAAAAGCTTTATTTTGAAGTGTTTGGATTAACTTTTGTGCTGTAATTAAAAAATACACTTTAGGGTTTAAATGCTTTCGAATTGTCCTAAAAAAAGTTTTAAAGCATAATATCTTATTAAAAAGCTGTTTTATTTTGTATTTCAGATTATTTAGACAAGAAACTGCAGTTTATAAAGAAGGTAAGTTCACTTCTTTTCCATAGTGGAATTTTTTGAAAATAATGATATTCTGATTTAAAAGTAAATGTCAGTTTTCTGTGTGAATTTTGGCACTTGCCCAGACCATTGGTTATCATTACTACATTTCATATATGCGATATGATTATCAGCATGAAAACATGTATGTATTCTACCTAGAAGAGAATAAAATTAAATTGAGGCGTGAACCGCAACCTAAGGTCTATTGTGCCCTCTCCTTAGTCACAACGAATCACATATCCCGGCACACTGGTATATTCCAGTATCCTGCTGGGTGCTATTGAGGAGATATGATACCACCACATTGAGGAGATATGGATCACCAGACTGCTGTGCGGTCTAGCAACAGGTGCTGGGGGGTTTCTGGCTCCATGTCACACATCCGGAAGTTAGCACAAGAGACTATATCCATGTTAGATAGTTGATTCTTGAGCCTACAATGCCCAGTATAAAATGCCACAAGTTACCGAAATTTGTCTCTCGGAAAGTTGATTACACTTTTAAACCTAGTGAGGGTGTAACTAGCCATTAACATCTTTGCCTGGCACATGCCTGTGAGTTCTATACACTCGCGCAGCAATAGCGATTCACTCTCATAAGCTGAGATCGCCTTAAGTGCCGCTTGATGTGATCGCTATGTGTGGCTATACTTTCATTGCAATATTTGCGTTGGAGGTTTAATAACAAAGACTTTTGCTTGAAAAATTCTCGGAAAACATCCTATAGGTATGGAATGTTTAGTACGTGATCCTGCGACGCCTGCACCAATGCCTTGTGACGTTTTCGAGCCGTCAGTGTACCACTTAATAGTGCTGTCCCTTAGCAGTAGGACAAGCGTTGAGTTAAAATACCATGCTGTACTCAGTTTAATATACCTTTTTGTTTCTTCTTTGTTAGAAATCTCCACTTCTTCTAAATAAAATAATAGTATTCATCAAGTGGAAATATTGCCTCCTAAAAAAACTAAAGTGAGGGGGGTCCATAATGTCTTCGACTTGAATGGACTTCAAGTCCACTGCCCATATTTTTACAAAAATTTCCGAAGTCTACTTGAATATTTCGAGATTTATACTGTAAGACGAGTTCTCTTCGGATGCGCGCTCGAAAGCTTCAACTTAGGTAAGTTTAAATAATACTCGTGTTGCGGCTTCGAATAATCGTTCACTTCATTTAGTCGAGAGCGATTAATGTTCCCAACCACAGCGTAATTCAACTATGCAAAGCCGGAACGATCCTTACGCCATTTATGTAGAGTATACACAGTTTCGTTTGATAACTTGTAGGTATTTTGAAGGTAGTGGGCTTCATAAAAACATTCCAACCAAGCTTCTGGCGAATCACTGTCGATGTATGTGGCCTGGCGTTGTTCTGATGGAACACAATACTTATCCTATTGGTCAAAGCTGACCACATCTTGGCGAATGCCTACTTCAATGATCTAAATGCAGACAGCACAGGTGCTAATTCAGAATTTCGCCGAAGAGGAGAAGCTCAAAGTAGATGTTTCCCAGCCAATTCCACAAAACACACAGCAAATCCTTTTTCACAATCAATGCTGGCTTGATCACCGTTTACGTCGGCTCATCGCAATTCAAGCATGACCGTTTCCACTTAACGTTGTCGCACGTAGCCAATTGTTCAGCACCAGTAACCATCCATTTCAGAAATGTATCGATTTTATGCGTTTCAGCAGCGAGACGCAGATGGAAATTCGATCCATGCGGTTTTTTTACGCAACTCGTGTGGCACCCATAAATCGAGATTTTGTTTTTATATCCACCCTTGTCTAAATGGATTTTGTGTAATACTTAGCTCCTGGGAAATCAGACTCGACGATTTCAATTACTTCATCGATATTTTCGACAATTGGTCTCTCAGAGTATAACGTATATATGACACCGAAATTTCCGTAACGGAATTAACGAAACTAAAATTGCGTATGATTAACTTCTACACTAGCAGTACCATGAACCCTATTCACATTTTCAAACGCTTGGCTTCATCGAAGAAAAAATTTAAAACATGCCGTATTGGCACATCTTACTGAGGCCAGCAACAACAAAAGTGACTAAACAGTTTTTTAGTACGACATTTTATCTCTCTAAACTCATATTGCGTAACCCAATCACACTAACACAATACAGGATACAGATTACTAACGCCGTCTATTGGAAAAGTAATGGATTTCTCTTTATTATAACTAATAAATTGATTTTTTAATTAATTGTTAAGAGTGAAAGCTCATGAGCTTCTGAGCCAGATTTTTAAACACTCCTATATATCTGAAATTAAATGTAAGAGCTCTTGGAAGCGGTCCATTTTATAAAATTTATTCTCTGAATCGCTTTTTCTTCTTCTTCTTCATTATTTTATCACTTCAACCCTTCTAAAACTTTTCAAATTTGTACATACACCAAATTCACCAATACTTTTATTTCCGCAGGTCTGAGCAGGTATGCTTAGAAGACAAGGCGAAATTCCCAAATAAATATTACAACAATGCAATCACGTATTTGTGCAAAGTTTTTGTCATCTGGAGCATGTGACGCGCACCTCGAAATACTTGGAATTCATCACCTGATTCTGGTATTGTTTTTCGCGTTTCGTAAAATGCAATTTACACCTCAGCAAAGTGCAACAATGTAACGTTGTTGTTCCTTTCGTCTTTGGTTTGGCTGCGTAAGACCGAATCAAGACGGAACGAATGATTGTCACATGCCGTGCATGCATTGTCTTTATTTGCGCTACACGCTGTACACATTAAATTTCTTGTTATTGTTGTTGTTCATCACTGTTGTGCTGTATTTGATTCAGTAAAAGTGTTGCAAGCAAACACTTTGTAAGCAACACTTGGAATAAACTACTTTTATCTATATATAAAGCGTGAGATACTTGTACATATGTATGTTTATAGTGTAAGATTAGAAAAAAAATGTGTTCACGAAGCTGCTAGAAATAGCTGACAAGCTGACATCACAACATTTTCTCACGCTCTGCTAGGATGTCTTGCTTCCGTTAGCTATGTACTCGTGGTTTTTTGTGCCAGCTTCACCTGTAAACTTACAACAACAACAATAACACAATAACAAAAAAAAAATACAGAACGGTGCAGAAACCAAGAGATCGATTGAGACATTTGTCATTTCGCCGAACCGAACAGGCGACACATATTTCGAGTTTCATCTGCTCGCGCAAGCAAAACGAGATTTATTGGCGGTACACTCTCGATGGTACCACTTGCGGCCTTCAACCTTTGTTTACACGCAATTGCTAGAGTTTCTTTCTAAGCTTGCCACGCTGTTGACTTGGCAGGGGGGTTGCACTCGCCGCTTGCTGTCGGAACTTACACGACAACAGTTGCCACCGGGACACCGTGGCGTATGAGTAAACAGCAGCTTCCGGCAGTTAACGCCGCTGCCAACATACAACTTCACGCCATCGCAGACGACACAATCTAGCTTCCAATCGCTCACTCGTTCTGACTACTTCTGACGCTCTGCCATTCTCTTCCCTCTGTTCCTCTATACGCGTCACTATAGCACTATGATTCGCGTGGTCATGTAGTTTTGCTGGCTGAGGCAAAGCGCACACACCCTTTGGCTCATAAATCATTGTGGTGTTTGGTTGTTTGTTTGCTTGTGTGTGTGTGTTTGTGTGTGTAAACATGCTTTCGAGCGGCGAACTTCAACTAAGCACTGTGGCGCTGCCAGCGAAAAGGAAATCGAATTTGTGGCGCATGAAATCGAGAGCAAAATATATTTGTCTATACATACACACGCGCATATATAGTTATGTACGTAGATGTGTGTGTGTGTAAACACTCTCACTCTATTTGCTAATGGGTATTAAATTAAAAATTTATGAATTGTGAAATATTAGAACAAAATTGATATTTTATGTTGCTTTCAGGTCAGTTGTGGCAGTTTCGATTGTTTACATTACGACTATGCGCTTGGCAGCAGCTAACGGTGCATGCTCGTGAATGACATGGTTACGGCACATTGCAGTGTGTCAGCTTCCCGCACTGTTGTGTTTGAAAGAAAAGGCAGCCATTAGAAAAACAACAAAAGTATGGAATAATAATAAGCTCATGGCTCGCTTGCATTCACCCCGAGCACGCACACACACACTCAAAGGCGCGTTTACTTGTGTGGTTTGTATACAATGCAGCATCCTTTCTATTTGTTTTGCTTAGAGCAAAAAGCAAATACACATTCCACATGTTGTTTTGTGCTCGATTTCATAATTGCACTAAGAATGCATGGCGGCGTAAGCACGTGTGTCTGTGTGTGTATCTAACATATTTGTATTTATCTTCAACTGCAATGCGCTGTGTCCTGCTGGCCCACATTACCAAGTCTAAGTAGCCTGTATAAGTAACTGTTTGCATGTATGTTACGCATGTGTGGAAGGGTGCATGTGGCGAGTGTACGTATGCCACATGTGTTTGTGCTGCTCGAAACTATCTGCTATGTGGCGCATTTAAATTTTATAAGCTCGCTTGTCCATCTTCTTGACTGTCTTGCATTGCACACTTTTGTCTGCTTATTTTTATAAACAGCAAGCAACCATGCCACATTTATGTTGCAACTAATACTCATATGAATGTACATGCGTCAACTATGCTCACCCACTCAGCGCTGCGCCGGCAGTGGCATGTAAATATTCATAATTTCATATTTTATTTCCTTTCACTTTTTCTGGGTCAAAATGTGTGCATACATCTTCAATAAGTGGCAGCCAAGCATACTTGATATAAATATGCAAGTTATTTCAAGTGTAAGCGTGTGTTTGTGCGTATGTGTCTAGTAGCATGTAATATACATACTTATATGCGTATGAAAATGGGTTTTGGCTGTGTGATCATGAATGTCCATCTTTTTCTAATGATTTGTCCGTTGAATATGAAACTTTGTCAGCCAATGTATAATACTATCTTTACAGCTATTAAAAATATAATCTTTCAAAAACAAAAACTTCAT